TCTTTAATTTTATCCCACATCAAAGATATCACATCTTGTTTCTCTTCTGCATTATTTTCTATTTTTTGTAATTTTTGCACGAGAGCTTTTTTTTTTAGCTTTTTATTATATTCCAGCATCTCTAGTGCCTGTCTCACAATTTCCACTTGCTCTTTTACCGGTTTAAAACTTTCCTGCTCACACTTTTGTAACATTACACGCTGCACCTCTGTGTCCATTCTCTCAGGAAGTTCAAACAAACAGCACACGTCTTTTTTTATTGTCACTGGAAAACTCTGGAACTTTTTTTCTTCTTTTTTTTTTTTCTGGAACTTTTTTCCTACACATTCATACTGTGGTCTTATATTTGACAAAGACATGAACACAAAATAAACAAACAAGATACTGACCACATTTCAACATTCACGCGAAACACAGACGCCAGAAATATTCACAATGGTCACCCATGAAAATGTTGTTTTTTTTTTTTTAAAACAAAATGTGTTGACTTCCCTTTTAATATCCTAGAAGACAACAATATTTGTGAACCCGTGACTTCTCTACTCCACCACAGGTCATAAATTATTTTATCATAAATTTAATTTTTAGTTCTGTTTTTATTTTAATCTATTCGGTGCGTGCGTCGTATTTAATTAATTAATATCCCACCCAGCCTCGCGAACGCCCACCTACGGTCAATTGTGAGCGAACTTTAATTGATACTGTTTTAAAAGTTGACTGCCAGTTCAACAAGATTACAGTAAACTTAGTCTAGTGGAGTTACAGAGTTGAACAGCGGAACCATTATCCTAGAACTTTCACTCCTCCCCCGGAGTCCGTCGACTCTCGGTTGGCAGACTAACACGCAGTATTATCCCTGAGGCTGGTTTTATTTTATCTTAATTTTACAGTCGACATAAACTTCTCTATTTAAAACTATTTATCAAGGGAGTCAATCACACTGAGCAAAAATTTGCCTATTTGTAAGCCCAATTTACAGATTTCGTAATAATACAGGCTCTGCTTACCTCCTTCTGTGAATGACGCGTCGTAGTTCAGTATGAAGGACTCGGTAACTATGTCTCACATCTCGGTGGGACCTCCAAATTTGTTGTGTTTTTCCATCTTATTTCTCCACCCGAGTCTGAAGTTACCTTTTCAATCCTGCAGGGGTCAGTCAAATCATGCACATCAGATACGACAAATGCACCTTCAAATTTATGAATATTTAATAAGTAAAGAAACTCAGAAGT